ATATGAGAAGTGAATGGTTTACACTCTCCTGAGACTAATATCAAATGTCAGATTAGGAAAGCGGCCAGAAGGAAAAGCAACCTACCACCATCTCAGAATCCTGATATTCTGCCACTTCATCTCAGAACTTCATTTATTTTTACACTTCCTTGTTTTTTTTTATATTCTTTGGTTTAATTCTTGTGTTGTTTTTATTTGTTTTCCATTGAATTACCGCTGTTTTGGGGTTTTTTTTTCCCCTCTTTGTCATTTCTTTTGCTTCTTTTACTCTTTCATTAATATAAATTCTTATTAATTAAAAATGCTGCTCTCTGTCAACTCCTTTTCAGCTCAACAACATCCACTTGTATTTCTTGAGTGATATGAAAAATTAAGAGCATCAGACAGGAGGACAACAGGGCTTGGATTCAATTTTAAACTGACTGGTAAAGTAAATAGAAGAAAACCTCATATTATTTTTTTTTTTTTAACTAAAACAAGTCATTCATACATAATTATTCAACAGAAGAACTCTTTCTCCTTCTCTTAAAACACCTTGTCTTATTGGGATTTTCCCAATTATATTGGTAACAAAAATATTGTGACGCCGGCAAGAAGAAAGAAACACAAACACAGTTGAAAAATGTATGAAAAAACATGTATTTTGCAGATAAGTCCCACAAACTGACTGTTTGCAATTAGAAACTTTACTTCTGTTTTCCTACAAACTTTACTTCTGTTTTCCTACAAATACATGTTTTTTCATACATTTTTCAACTGTGTTTGTGTTCCTTTCTTCTTGCTGGCGTCACAATATTTTTGTTACCAATATAATTGGGAAAATCCCAATAGTCTCTTCAAGATATTTGGTTTCCACAGCTTCAACACCAAAATATAAAAGTGCATGAAGCATTAGAAGTCTGAAAATATAAAATTTTCTTGTCAATTATTATTTTCCCTTGCAATGTCCATGCTTTGAATATCACTGCCACATATGGTTTGGTGTTCCTGCTGTATATTTAGCAATTCTTGATAAAATCTAGAGAAGAATCAGCAATATTATTTATTCCTGACCTGGTGTCTCAGCTTCAGTCACTTTCCCACCACCATAATGTAGCCTCCCTGTGCCTTTTCTATAAATACTTTCATGGTAATTGTTCAGATGAATATGTCACTATGGTACTTAGACTTTATTAATTTATGTGCAGTACTAGATTGGTGACAAAGTATCATCAATTCATAGTTGAATTGGTGAGACGTAACTGTAAATTCTTACACTTTTTGCTTATGGAACTCTCTTCTGACTCCATGCTTTCTAGCCAAACTTGATCTTCAAAAATTTAAATGCCATGTCAATCATTATCTACTGTCTTCTTGATTACTTGATTACAATAATAATGTTTCTCTTTTTTGTTATTTTTTCACACTCAGTGTCTTAGCGGCTTTACTGCCTTGCATGGGATGATATGATTTTTTAAAAAATCTATAAAAAGAATTAATTTTATAAAAGCACTATTTGCATATTGACAATGAATGTTTTCCTAATATGAATTTATCCTCGTGGAAGATTTGGTATCATCCAACAAACATCTCATCACTTATCAATTGTAAATGTTTTTTTTTTTTTTTTACATTTGTTTCCAATGGTTTACTATGGTTTTCAATTGATCGATTTGGTTTCTTTAAGTCTAGAGTCAAATAATGGCTTTCTGACATATATTGATTTAGTTTCGATGGCTTATCAACTCTTTGCAGTTTATTTAAAGCCAGAAAATATTTTTAGATTGTAAGAATATTTTCTGAGATGATAATAATTTAGTGACACAAGTCTTACTAATTAACTCATAGCTGGAGGAGAAGAGATGGATTCATAGAGTTTTATAAGAGTAAGTGTCATTGTCGACACTGTGGTTTGAAACTAGATCACCAGTGAGTAACACAGGTGATTCCATTAAGTAAATCATGTGATCATAAAGGAAGTGAATAAATAGAAAGTAGTGTGATGACTATATGTTCATTCTTTGTCAACAGCACTTTTATTTTAACTGTACAAGAATTGCCAACAAACTGCCTGCTAAAGACACAGTATGGCTGTGCAATAATAAACATCAATACAAAGTATCTAGATGATATTGTCCAAAGGAATACTTTATATTGCAGAATAATTAGAAACAATTTCTAGGATGAGAAGATCTCATGATTTACATTCAGACTATTGTCCTCATCTTTGTTGTTTTTATCACCATACTTTGGCCATTGTGCCCAGCAGCCTTCATCAAATGTATATCGATCTGGTTAACTGACAGGGAATTCTGAACTGAACCTTTTATTTCATGTGGATTAAAGCGTTGGTTCGTGAATTTGGTGATATAACAATTGTGAGTTCAATCTCTGTGTCAGGCAGTGTGTACTTGGACTCAGTGTAAATGGGGTGAGCAGTAACTCAGCAGTACCAAATAAGAACTATGTAAGATATCCCTAGACATGGGGGGTTGAACAAGAACATTCTACCACCACAGATTAAATAATGGGTTAAATGTAGGTTACCTGGATCAATATACACCTGATGAAGTGAAGGCCACTCTTTCCAAACAATAACAACAAAGATGAGGACACTAGTCCAAATGTAAATCATGTAAATAATTAGAAACAATAAAAAACAGGGAGGAATATGAACCAGTTGATAGATGAACTTAACTACTCCAATTGAGTAAAAAATAAATAAATAGTAAATAAAATTTCTGAGTTTAGGTGGAGAGATTAGAAGTATGTAGTTACAGTAAAAATGTGTTTCTTCTTATAAGTCAAGGGGTCAATTTCTAATCCTATTTCAGAATACCCTGTTGTAGAGGGTCCCCACTGAAAAAGTGAAAAAAACTATTATTGCTGTTTTATCTTTCAGGAATAAATAACCTTGAATAATCATTTGAATCACTTGTAACTACTTAACTGATTGGTTCTTTTATGATTGATTAATTGCTGCTCAATCTTGTGACTCATTATTTAAAGGTTATTTGCAGACGACTTTTGTCTTTCGTTCTGCCCGGCTCATATGGCTAAACAATTCACTGATTTTGAACGTCAAGTTATTGTACATTTCAAAGAACATTCGACATGGGAAATGACAAAAATGCAGAAGTTATTCCTGAATTTTTTAGTCACATCAGTCATCACCAGTTTTCAATGGTTGTCTCACATCTTTCTGAATTTACTGCTTTTTTTTTTCTTTTGCTGGGTGCTGGGTAGTTTACATGGAGACTGACAATCTTTGGGGTTATCGAATAATTTACTTTGATCTGAATAATTATTTAGGATGATAAAAATGTTTCCACCCGATTAAAATCTTAATTTTAAACTCATCTGACAGATTATTACTTGTTAACCATAATATACTTTTGAATATAACCAGTTAACCTTATTGTTCTCGGTGTGAAATTATATTTTTATAATAATTATTAATTATCAAAAAGACAAAAATTAATTCTATTATAAAAATATGCTGTTAAGTATTTTTTAATCCTACATTATTTCTTAAATGCTATTTTACTATGTTGAGTCAACATCCTTGTTTCTTTTTTTTTATACATCAACTGGCCTATATAATCAAAAGTCATATTAAAGTAAATGTCCCTCTCAGCAGTGATTAAGCCTACATATATTTATCTGGGAAACCACTTATTTGGCAGGAAAGTCTTCAGCATCTGTTGTAGTGTCCTCCCTCTAAAGACTATGTCAGACTCTTCCACCTACTAGTAGGAATTAGTAGGAAAGAAGGCTTCAGGGAATCACTGAACAGTGAATAGATTGAGCACAAGTTCATTTGATACACTCTTACTAGTCATGTAATACTCTTTTAGTGTACTTACTGTTTAATATACAATATATCTACACACCTGGTTTTTGTTATTACTTAACCATTTATTTGATCACAACAGCATCCATCCATATATGTCATTATAGCCAAGCATTACTCAATTACCATTTTGGAAACATTTACATTTCTTGTTGAAACTTTTCCAGGTCTATATTTGATAATGTATATTTTCATACCTGAAATGTAAACAAACCAATTTAAGCAATTAATTTATGATCTGATATTATTTTTTTTATTAGTGGGTACAGACATTTGAGTAGATATCCTTGTTTTGTTTTTTTCTTCTTCTATTTTTTATGTAGTGAAATTAATGTGTTACATTTGATGACCTAGGCTGGTTAATATTAATTTCTCTGTTAAAATACAAGCAAACACAAACTGGAGTCTATTCAAACACATGCCCTAACTGAAAAAAAATTATCAGTATCCATTTTTATCTGTGGTGATATGCATTTTCACAACTGTAAAGTAGAATGACATATTCAACATCGTTAAAAAGCAGTTTTGTGTTAGGTAATAAAAGCCAAAAAATTATTTTGAATAAATTTAAATGAAAAATAAAGTGAGGCTTTTGGTTAAAGGCCTTGTTTTCACTTCAGTATGGATATATTTTGGTTGAATAAAGCCTTTACTTAAGGCCTCTCTTTATTTTTCAGTCCATTATGATTTTGGAATTTTAAAATGGCAAAACTAGCAATCTTTTTATTCCTATGAGAATGCTGACATTATTTATGGGATTGTCCGATATATTTTTTGTGGATCAGAGCTACAATCTACTTTTTTGATATTCATGAAGCTTAATTCACCCAGAATTAGTAAAGACTGACTCATCTAATTTTCAAACTGTTTTGAAAAGCAGGAGGACAATCAAATCAAAGACAATTAATTTTCAAAATGAAGAATTTCCTTTCTCATGTAGCTCTGTACTGAGATGGGCAAATGGTAAATGGAATCAGAACTTATAAATAGAATTCTTATTCCTTCAATCTCTGTGTTTTTCTGTAATCGTTTTCTCTTCTTCTTTAGTTGTTTCCTTTTAGTGAGCTCTGCTGATAAAGCAATCTTCTGGGGCAGGAAATAAATGCATGTCTTGAGAGAAGATGTAGAATGGCAAAAGTAAACTTAATTGTATTTTTGTGCAATCATTTTAGGCAGAGAAAAATAAGAATATAAATAAATAAGCAGCTGTCAGTTTTAGTAACTGCTGAAAAAAATGAAAGAAAGATATTTAACTCCAGGAACAGAATTCCATAAAACCATCATAGTCAAACAACATATGAAAGAACATTTCACATTTAGCATGTTTTAAAATCTGTGAGCATTACAATTTCAACCAATCAGATTTTAAGTGCTAGTGATATCCCATAATATTTAAATCACTTCTCTTTGTAACATTACTTCTTTATATCTGTTCTATCCAACAGATAAAATCAGTCATTACTGTAGCCATTTTGAACATTCAGTTTAATAGTCATTGCTAGGCAGCCAATGAAATTCAGTCTTTATATTCATGAATAAATGCGTCCCATTAAACATAATTTGGACTTATCATCACTCATCAGTATTCTCTGAACAGCCACCATTATATAAGTGATACAATTCTAACTAACCAAATTTTCATATTTATTTCTATACCTCTAATGACATCCAGTAATATTCAGCCATTCATTGCTGAACTATTATTTCTTTATAGAAATGCAATCTATTAAATATAATTTTAGCCAATTAGCTTTTGTCAGTCTTTCCTGTTCAGTTAAAGATATCTGCACAATCCAATTTTGACCAATCAAAACTTAACAATCATTTTCTAAAAGCTAGCACAATAATTTACAGAAATATTATTGGGACTAATCATATCTGACCTTTTATTTCCTTACCATAATGGAATCTGTTAGACTTTATTTAGACTAATCCATACTTCATCTATTATGTTTTTTTTTTTCAAGAATAGACATTCAATACTGTTGCGACAAATCAAATTTTAGAAAGCAATTTTGTCAGCCAACAATATCCAATTATCATTGATGCAATTATCTTTTAAACGTTATTTGCTAAAATCAGAATTATACAGCAGTAATAATTTTGATTTATTGTCTTTCATCAGTATATCATTTGTAGAGGGTGCATGTCAATGTGAATGTTATCATGGGAAGGAATTACTTTGCAGCCAATTGTATTTATCAGAAGTGCTGTTAGATGAATAGTTAGAAATGAAGAAAAATGAGAAGAGTTCAAATTCCAGCTAAGACATTTTACATCCATTTCACATTAAAAAAGGCACGAATTCACCTTTCCTTTGCCAACTATGGATTTTCTCTCTAGCCTTGGTTTGTAGCCAATTCTGAATTACAAACCACTGAAAAGGCAATGAGAAACCACTTCACTGTCTTTCCAATGAACAATCATAGCAATGCAGAATTTATAGTTATTAAACAAAAGGAAGCTGTGGATAGCTATGATTGACTCCAGCCTGTTGTGACATGATACTTAAGAAAGAAGAGAATTTGACGGAAGCATATTAATTTGTTAACTTTCATATATAAAAGATCTTGTAGTAATCTTGCAATCACAAGAAATATAAAAAAAAAATCTAATTCCCATGATTCAATAGAAAAAAAGGAAACTGCTCTGCTGGTGTGAAATTTAGATACTTTCTCTTTTTCATTTAATGCTCACCAAGAGAGTACAGATAAAGTTTATACCAATATCCCATTCCTTTTAATGATAGACTTATCACTTGCAAATAATTTATTAATTCATCAAGACAAACATAATAAAATAGAAACATTTAACAACTACATTACAAGAACTATCATATATCTCCTGAACTAGTACAACCAAATCCTTCTATATATGTATAAATGTCTCACTTTGTTTTAATATATATTTTACTAATCAAAAACAGGAGGCAAACAAGGCCCATGATAACAATCTTTAATCATCTGTTAGAATATTAAGTTTTACAAAAATTTCAGATATAGATCAATATTTCCAAATTGTGTAAGTTTTGATTTCTAATTCACATTCTTTAAAAGTTACAAGATTATTAATCTCAAGTTCACTTGCATTCTCTAGTAGTATTAGTACTATTATCTAGGATTTTTTATTATTAGATGAAGCTACAGGACATAAACAACTATATTTTACTGCCAATAAGTGAAGCACAGACAAGTAAAAGATGCCTACAAATAAATCCTACTAAATTCAGTAAATACAAAATTTTTTTACAATTCTGTACAAACACACCTCCAAAATTAAATAATTGTTTTCTAGAACCTGATTGGATATGACAAGTCACGTGATGCACTTTTTATAATGTCTACGTGGTTGAACTCCAAATAACCTGGAAAAAGGTTAGGGCTTTGGTCACAGAGTACGTTCCCAGACAAAACTCAGACAGGATTTGTGAGTTGAAACCGGTTGTCAAATAGCAATAAAAACGGATTGCCAGGACAGTCAGAACAGATGAAAAGAAGCAGTCAGTGATGGTCTTTCTACATACAAAGCCACAACAAAAGTAAGTTCTAGACACATATACTACTGGTATACATATAACTTTGAACTTTGCAGACTCACTTGCAAAAATTCACTTTAAACACTTGAACTATTGGTCTCTTCATGGCCACAACAGAGACAACCGAATTCTGTTATGTAAATACATGTATCTACTGTGTAAATATTATTGTCATATTTAAAAAATATTTTGTTGCAAGTGAGTCTGTAAAGTTCAAAGTTATTTTACTGCAAGTGAGTCTGTAAAGATCAGAGTTATATATATGCCAGTATTTGTGTGTGAAGCACATGCGAATGAAATGTGTGTGACTGCTGACTGCAATAGCAGTGATTTCAAAACACAGTGAACAAAGACAAGGGGATCTCGAACTTACTTTCATTGTAGCTTTGTATGTAGAAAAATCATTGCTGATTGACACGTTGTCATGGTGACATGTGTCACAGCTGGGCCTGTTCGTTGACTGTTCCTTTTCACCTGTTCTATTCTGACAAGCCGCTATTTGACAATTGGTGTTGGCTTGTTTTGCGTGAGAATGTACTCTGTGACCGAAGGCCTGACCTGTTTCCAGGTCATTTGGAGTTCAACCATGTGGACGTCACTGAGAGCACATCACGAGACTTGTCCTTTCTAATCAGGTTCCAGAAACCAATTATCTAATTTTGGAGACATGTTTGTACAGAACTGTAAAATTTTTTGTATCTACTGAATTTAGTAGGATTTATTTGAAGATATTACTTACATGTTTGTGCTTCACTTATTAGCTATAAAATAAGCGTTGTCAACAATTATTCATTTTTCACTTGTATTTCTGACATCCTAAATTCAAATACTTTATGTGTATTTGTAAAATTGTCTATTGTTAAATAAAGCATTTTCAACCATTATTCATTTTTGACTAACATTACTTTCATTTTATTTTCAGTAGTAATTAGTATTAGTAATTTTATTAGTAGTAATAATATAACCTTGAATTTTTATTAGATAAAGCATTGTCAAATATTATTCATTTTTGACTAGGTTTTAATTTTATCTTAATTTTAAAAACTTTCTTTAGACTCGTATTATTAGTAGTTTAGGTACACCACTGATTTTCTGTAGTTTCAGAACCGTACCAGATTATTTGTTTTGTCAGGGGCAACAGATGATGAATATCATCATCACTTTCATGGCCAGGTGTGGTTTTAAGAACACTGTGCAACTGAGCATATATCGGTTGAAAGCTGGATGGGTTTTCATTCATGTAATACATGTCTTGGGTAAGAAAACCTGGCAAAGTCCATCTCTCTCCAGGTTAAATCATAGCTAATGTCCTCTAACTTGAAGGCTTGCCTTGGTCACAGACATGTGTTCATTGATTCCATCAGGGGAAACTCTCCAGCCCGGCCATTGACTTTGATTTGATCAACGGAAGTCATATAATAACAATTCAATAATATCTGACCTATTAATTATTCATCTCTCAAATCTCTGCAGCATCATTGACTGTGATATTAAACTATTATTAAATACAATACCATTAGCCTGACTATTCTATACAGCACTTGGGTTTGGTACAAAAGAGAAGAACAAATTTTGATTTGTCAGTGACATTCTTTAATAGCAGGAAACACTAAGTTTAATCAAAGACAAAAGAAAAATAAATTTTAAGTGATATCAGTACATTTTAGAGAAAAAAAAGTGGTCATCTTGCAGACCATTCCTTGTAAGTTTTTCTCACTGAGTGCCAAAATTCTGTGATAAAATATTAGTTAGATTAATATAATCATCAAAGAATAATTGGTGGAATGTTTTTTTTAATCATTTCACCCCAAGCAAGGCAGTAAAACCACTCAGATGCAAGGGGTTACTAAGTGTTAGAGAATATGAGAAAAAAAAAAACACTACTAAAGAAAGAGAATTAAGGTAACGATTGACATTGCATTTAAATTTTTTAAGTTCAAATTGGAGTGGGAAGTAAGAAGTCTGAAGAGAATTCCAGAAGCAAGAAATGTGATAAAAGAAACTGTTAGCATAGAATTTCTGGTTAAATTTGTTAATATGGTTAATGAGAAGACTTTGCTGCCAATCTATAGTATAGTACTTAAATTCATAAATTCTAAGTACCATAGAGGAAAGTTAATCAGAATAATTCTCATGAAAGTATTTATAGAAAAGGCACCGGGGTGGGGAGTGAATGAAATGAACAGAATTAAATGTTGATAACTGAAATTACCTCAGACCTTATATCTTCTCTCACATTTTGCTTGTACCCTCTCCCTCTCCCTTTTGTTCTGAGTTGCATTTCTATGTTTTTATGTAAATTTTATATGAGCAGGGATTATTTACATGTGCAAAAAAAGGAACATGAGGAAGAATGATAGAGAAAAAGAAGTAAAAACAAAGTGAAAGCAGAAAGAAATAGAGGGAGAAGGAAAGAAGTAAAAGTAGGAGAAAAAAATCAATAAATTGAGAAGAAATATGGAAAAGTAAAAATAAAAGAAATAATAGAAAATAAATTAGAGGGAAAAAGAAAGAAATAGAAGTTGAAAAAAGAAAGATATAAAAGAAGAAAAATACAAAGGAAATAAGGAGAAACAAAGAAAGTAAATGAAGAAAGAAATTAAAAGAATGAAAGAAAGAAAAAATTAAAGAGAGAACAAAAAATGAAAAAAATGAGAAAGAAAAAAAGAAAGGAAAAAAATAAAGGGAGAAGAAAAAGCAAGTCAAGAAAGAAAGAAAAAAATTCAAGAATGAAATGAAAAAATTGAAAAGGCAAATGAAGAAACAAAAAAGGGGAAGAAAGGATATGAAAAGAAGAAAAAACCAAAAGGAATTAAAAGGAGAAGAAAGAAATCTTACGTCAAGTTATTATAGAAAAAAGACATTGTCAATAGATAGACACATCAAAAGAGAATAGGCTCTAAATACATAGTCAACAGAAGTAGGAAAACATTTTTCTTAAAAGAGCCACAAATTAAAACAAGGCCAAAAGAAGCCAAGTGTACAAATACAGTACATTGAAGAGTTTTAAATGAAAAACCCTCTTCAATGTACTGCAAATTGAGAAGTTCTACTAAAGAAAAATTTTGCCCTCCAACAGGAAATGATCCTGCATCCCTTTTTTACCTCAGGGAAACCAACATTTGAGCCAAAGTGTGACTCTACCAGTTTGGTCATGGTGCCAAACTGACAGCACAATTTAGGCCGGTTGTTATTAACTTCACTGTTTAATAAAATGAAACAACTGAAACATGTGCACCCACTGAAAATAACATTTATAGTAATAATATATATTTTCAGCAATTTTTTTCATCTGACATTATTTTTTATTACTATCAATATTATATTTAGTGGGTGCATGTTTCTGTAGACATATCAATCAGTAGAATGCATATTAAGGACCAGACATCAAAAGTGCTATTAAAGAAAATGCACTTTCCAAAAAGAATTTAACCTGTATTTCTTCTTTAATTTGTGAAACCACTTTCAAGCCAATTGTGATTTACCATTGAAACACAGGAAGCTATCAGAGCAAAGCAAAGTTAAACTGTCCTAGAAATGTGCATCTCTCTTTAAGACTTTCAAAGTCTATATCTGTTAACATTATTTTTATATCCAAAATGTAAAAATAATTTTTAAGAAATTGATGATTGTTTTTTAAAGAACCTTCTTCATCAATGTTGTTTAATTTTTACTTCATATTATATTGCAGAAACTTTAAGAATTAATTTTTATCAATTGTTATGTTTGAAATAAGGATATAAACTGTTTACAATTGTGGGAGGTAATGCAACAACTCAACTGATGATAGCAGGTAGGAACAAAGAAACCGGTGTCGCACGTCCAACCTTCTCACGAGCTCTCTGATCCCAAACAGCAACAATCAATCGGGAACATCCAGTGTCAACGAGCACCGAACATAGTTAACCCTCAACGTACACGTTGACAACAGGCAATGCCGCATTTACTGACCGAGAGGGGGCAAGGGTTGTGACAGCACCTTGTCCCTGGACTCGTTTCCTGAGCAATCCTGTGCTACATGGCCTAAGTCTTTTCAGCGATAGCAGCGTAGTCGGCTGCTCCCGCCTCCTACGTCACTTTGGCTCCAGCAGTCCCTAGAGAAATGGTTGGGTCCACCGCACTTGTAGTACTTTGGGCCCTCCCGCGGTGTCTCAGGCATTCTCACGGCGGCCGCGACCTGTTCTGTGTCTTTCAAGATGTTTCGGGCCCTGGCTAGCAATTCGCCAATTCCCAGTGTGTCCAAACTTGAAGACGCTCGCAGGAGCTGACTGGTGTCGTCAGGAAGTCCCGCCAGGAAGGCGTACCCCAGTATGCGGTCTGTTGCTCCGCCAAACGGTACTGCCAGCCTTCGCAAATCAGCCAGGTAGACATCCACGGTCTCACCCAGCTCGAGCCGTCGTCTGATGAAGGGGTCTATTCCAAAGGCCGTATACAGGGCTTCCTTGATCTCTTCTAGGTCAGCATCATCCCCGAGTTGTTGATATATGGCATAGGCTCCTCCTGTGAGTCTCAGTGGGATGACCAGTGCAGGTTCCTTTATTTTGGACACCCTGCAAACACGTTCGGCCTTTTCAAATCATTTGATGATAGTCGGGCCCGTTGGGGTGCCGTCAAATTCTGGGATCAATTTTAGATCGAACTTGTCCATTGCCGAAATAGCTTGTGGAAAGTAATGCAACAACTCAACTGATGATAGCAGGTAGGAACAAAGAAACCGGTGTCGCACGTCCAACCTTCTCACGAGCTCTCTGATCCCAAACAGCAAAACGAGCCTGCTTTATAGAGCCGAGGACCGACCACAATTTGCATGCGAATGACGAGACAATGAGATTTCGTGTTAACTAACCGAGACCGCCCGGATGCGCACGCGTTTCCAAGGTAAGCCATTTTCACAATACTTTGTCTCTTATATACCTATATTTTTGTATATAATGGGTTGTCATTATTTGCATGTTATTGCCCATTTATTTTAATCTTATTATTCATCACAATTTTGACAAATCAAACAATTATGTAAATGATAAACAAAAGTTGTAGATGGTGAATATTGCTACAAGAAAAGCATAAAACACTACAGTAAACATATATTGCCTGTTTTTATATATATATATATATATATATATATATATATATATACATATATTAAAAAATGAACATAATACCCGATGTTGATTGCACAATTGTTAGGGTGGATTATTATTGTCGTTAAGTGTTTAAATGAATTGTAGTTTAATTTTGCATTTGAATTTAGGCCAAGAATGAAAATAAGAATTATAAATATTAATTTTAAATAAAAGGATGCTGATTTATAAAAAAAAAAAAAAAAAAACGTTTGGAGATCTAGGGGGGTAACTCTGTTTTTGCATGAAAATCAATAATGAGATTAGTAATATTAATAAAATATGCACTGATAAAATTAAGATACTAATAAAAAATCCAACATAAAAATAACATAAAATAAAATAAAAATGAAAACATAAATAATAAATAAATACATCAATAATGATAAAACAAACCACATTGCTGATAGAAAGACTAAAAGTAAAAGTAAGATAAAGACAATAATAATAATAATAGTCATATAATAATAATAATAATAATAATAATAATAATAACCCGGTTACGGAGATAGGACCTGTTACAATTCTATGGGACTACACAATCCACACTGACAGCACAATCAAAGCCAACCACCCAGACATTGTTATTAAAGACCAAAAACAAAAAAAGTGCCTCCTTATTGATATGGCAGTCCCTGCTGACTGCAATGTATCTTTGAAGATATTCAAAAAGCTGTCAAAATACAAGGATGATGAAATAGAAATCTCGAAAATGTGTCATATAGGAACATCAACAATCCCTGTTGTAGTTGGAGCCCTTGGACTGGTTGGAAAAGATTGCAGTAGACTAATTGAAGGGATTTCTGGAAGTCCATGCCTCAAGGAGATACAAAAAATTGTATAGGGTTGTTTGTTAACTTTTAACTCATTATTTACTTCTTTTTTTTTTAACTCTTTTTCACATGGGATTTTATTTCACATGTGACTGAAATTTATGTCATCTATACTTATCCTGAAAGGTGACATTTCATTTTGTCTTTCTATGGGTGGATTGGGGATTTTAAATCTTTATACATTAAAAGTGAAATTGGAGGAAAATTATATGCATTTTCATCATTTGGTGTTCTTTTATTTCTAGAAAGGAAATAATGCTGTATGAGCAGCAAAGAAGATATGTGCCATTTATAGAGATGGTTCCGTAAGAATAATGGTTTGGGTCCTCTACAATTTAACAAAAAGACAAAACAAAAAAACAACAATGATGTTCTTTTATTGTACTGTACATACAGCAAAAATGATAGGTACAATTGATACTAGAGGTGAGAGTAGTGTTTGTAAGTGTTTCACTACTCTTAAAAGTGGAAATTTTGATCTGGAAGGCCAAGATTGTACTGGCAGGCTTTCAGTGACTGATAATTATCAAACCAGTATCATACAGAAGGTGGGGTGTGTGCAGAAGGTGTGATGGTCATGGGCATATACAGGGTGACCCCCCCAAACAAACAGGAATTTTTGAAGTGCGTATTGCCAGACATGAGCAAGTGGCAACACTGCGAGACAGTGATCTTGAGCAAGTAAACATTTCGCCATTTAGAATTCAAGATGAAATTCACAGTATCCCAGCTGAGATGTTGCAGCAGTCAATGAGGAATCTCAACAGCAGATTTCAAGAATGCATTCGTACAAGAGGACGCCATCTACAGGACATAATTTTAAAAAAATGAAAATTCCATCATTGTTTCTTAAATGGCATGTTTTAAGGTTTCAATTACTATGAATAAAATATATTTCTTCCATCACTCTAGGTTTTATTGGATTGTTAAAAAGTTCCCGTTTTTTGAGGTCACCCTATATATCTGAAGGGAATCCAATCAAAGAGATAAAAATTTAGTTCTTGAAATTTGAAATTGTTAAATTCGTTGTACAAGTGCACTAAAGTTCCACAGGCTGGTGTGAATGTGAATTCATGTTTTGATAAGCAAGACTGGAGTAACCCACCCCCTATTGCATTTTAAGGGTGCACAATCAAGGACTTGGCTCCAGGCATCACCAAACATCTGCATGTCACTGGATCAAATTGAAATAATGGTTAAAAATAATCCCACTTTCATGACACATGGCATAGCAGACATAATCCACAGATGTCATATGAGTGATGTAAGTCAATGGAAAATACTTTGTTTTATGAATCATTGTGATTTTTAGGTGCTCAACAAATGAATGGACCACAACTGCATTTGAAATTTTTAGTTCAAAACAACAAAAATGACACATTATTGAAAAAAACAATCACAAACATAAAAAGCGATTGTTGAAAATAATGTGGAGTGAAAATGATGTAATGGAATAACCTGTCACCCCCATGAGTGACTACACTATAGGTAGTAACTACCTATAAGTATCTGTAAGTCAACGTATTACAGAGACTGGCTGGGATCTGTTGAGTATGACTCAGACTTACACGAGAACTACCGATCTTTCAATAGTAGCACTTACAACTGGATTGACTTGCAACGAACTTGTGCATAACTGTTACCTTTATTCATATTGTACTGGTTTGTTACAATAAACAATTACTTATTTTATCCACCTTGTTTTTTTTTTTAACGTATATATTTCTATTAGCACGGAATATAACAGAAAAGTTCTGGTGAAAATGAAATGTGCCATCATCAGTTACTCCAGCAGTTGGTCTTTATCTTAGGAAGGCAATGATGTATATCTAATGAGACTGGAAGTGCATTGTGTATTATGAGCTCTTTGTGCAAAACCAAATGTTGAATTCAGTGAAGTTCTTTTTTTCTTTTTTAATCATTTCACCACAAGCAAAGTGGTGAAATGTAGAATGCAGGAGGTTACAAGAAGTGAAAGTGTTATAATCCTTGCTAATGGGAATATATACTTGAAAAACATGGTGGATAAAAATAAGTAAAGGTTTATTGTAAAAAAACAGTACAATATGAATAAAGGTAACAGTTATCTACAAGGTCATTGCAAGTCAATCCAGTAGTGAGTGCTACTATTGGAAGGTCAGTAGTTCTTGCATAAGTCTGAGTCGTACTCAACAGATCCCACCTAGTCTCTGTAGTCCGTTGACTTACAGATACTTATAGGTAGTTACTACCTATAGTGTAGTCACTTATGGGGGTGACAGGTTATTCCATTACATTGGAAAGTAAAAGAGAATAAGAAGACTGAGAATAGGCAAGACTGAGGAAAGGAGAAAAAAAGGAACAGGGTTCAAAAAGACAGAAGATGGTGACTGATATTGCATTTAAATTTTTGAAGATTCTAATTAATAGGGCGATAAGAAATTGGAAGGGAGTTATACAGGTGGGAAATGCAAGAAAAGAAACTGTTAGAGTACGAGTGGTGGTTGCAACTATTTCAACAGTAAAAGGATGGGACCTAGATGCCAACCTAGTAGCATGCTTAAATTCATGTAGTTGGGGTCACAAAGGTAAAAAGATCATCAGAGTTGTTGCCATGAAAATATTTGTAGAAAAGACAGAGGGAAGCCATGTCATGTCAATGAGAAAATGACTGAAGTCAAGATGCCTGGTCAGGATTGATTACATTGCAGACTCCTTTTTGTTTTTTGTCAAGAATCTAAAGATATAAAGCAGGAGCACCAGAATAGATATGCATGAACGAGTAATAGATTTATAAATGTGCAACATTGATTCTGATAAGAAAAATTTTCTGGCACAACACAGTGAACCAACTTTCCTTGCAGAGGATGAAGCAATTGATTTGATATAGCTGCTCCACTTCATATCAAAAGAAAACATGAGGCCAAGAAGTTTTTATGTGTTGCTCTTCTGAAGTTTAACATCAGCCATGCTAATGGCAGGCAGAAAAAGTTCTTTGTGATGATTCTGCTCCCAGTTGGGTTGATCAAAAGCAACAAATGATGAAAACCATACAGAATTTGTCAATTAAATTAATTTGTCAGTACAATCCCAAAATCATGTCCCTTTGCTGAGTAATAGTTAAAAAGGTTGAGCTCCAAAAAATCATGAGTCCAAAGTTGTAATTCTAAGACTTAATTAATTTATTGAGCAGAGTATCCACACCAGTCAGCAGCCAATCAGAACCTAGAGAATAGCCTTACCCATGTAGCAGAATGGAACATCCCAGCCTGTTATATAAACCACTCACCAAGTGGTCCAAACAGATGGTCATAGCAGGCTCAACTTACAATACAGTAGAATACTGGGCTGTTTTTAGTTATTGCCTGATTTCTTTTTGTCTGCTAAATGGATGCTAGCTGGGAACTTCGTACGAGAGTGAGTATCATATTTTTGATTCAACACAACCTTGCAAGTCCAACATGCTGTAAAACTGTAGTAATTTAAGCAAAGAGGCTGTTGAGATGAGGAAAAGAGATGAGATGTAACAAAAAATAATACTGCCTCAGAAACCATAGCAACTGCTGTTTTCCCACGGCTTTTATTGGCATAAGGCATATTACAAAGGCCCTGATCTTGACCAGTTGCAGAGATTCCCATATATAGCTAAACATGCCAAACTGTCTTGCTGCTAATGAGAAGAACCCAGATATAACTGGTGTTGAAAAACATGTCCGCATACAATCCGAGGCCGCTTTTGCTTCTGTACTGACACATGTTCTCCACAAAATCAAAAGGGTAAAAATATCAACCTCTTCAACCATGAAGAGCTAAGCAATCCTGTCAATAAAAGTAGCATTCTTTTATTGGGCTAAGAAAGGTTGTGATTGGTTGACAATGGTCGGTCTGCACAAACAATTAGAATATTTTGAGGCCTACTAATGTCACTCTGATCTTGATTATGATTTTCTTTTTCGACAGAGAGCACAAAGAACACAAATTATTTTCCAAGATAAGACTTGGTTTTCATCTTCATTGCCACATTCGCATACCCAGCAGAAATTGGTAAAGCCTGACTGGATATCCTACTACTACTACTATGCCTGACATACTCATATGATCTTATACATTCAGATTACCACTTATTTCAATTG